TATATATATATATATATATAAGTTAGTCAAATAAAGAAATAGAAGTGGTAAAGATTTAGTTCAAGTGAAGTTCATTAAGGTCGAATGTCAAAAGGTGTTTTTAGTAGAAGAGGAAATTTAACAAGGATGGATGAGATATTTTGCTAAACTTTTCTAGATTGTGAGAATACAATTGATTTTACTGCCTTAGCATCATACATGAAAGTATAGATTTTTATTTTTATCAGTGTATTAGTAAAACTGAAATTTGAGAGTCTTTACAGAAAATGAAGTTTGGAAAAACTATTGGACATGATGACATACTAATAGAGCTGTGGAAATGCTTAGGAAATGAAGGAATTTTTTGGCTTACTAAACTTATTAATTTTATTTTGAAGACTAAAAATATGTTAGATGAGTGGAGAATGATTGTGTTGATTCTTATTTTTAAGAACAAAGGTAATGCATAAAATTGAGCGAATTATAGACGAATTAAGTTAACGTGTCATGCTTTAAAACTATGGGAGCGAGTTATAGAGCATAGATTATGACTAATTCTAATGTTTCTCAAAATCTATTTGGATTCATGCCAGGTAGGTCTACTATGGAAGTTATACATTTATTGAGAGGTTTGATGGAGAAATATAGAGAGAATAAGGAGGATCTTCATATGATATTTATTGGTTTAGAGAAAGCATATGATAAAGTTTCAAGACAAGTGCTATGGAGAGTTCTAGAAGAGAAATTAGTAAATAATGCTTATATTCAAATCATTAAGGATATGTATGCATGAGTTGTTACCTGTGTTAAAACACAAGGTGGTTTGACCAAATATTTTCCTATTTATGTTGGATTACATCGATGATCAGCTTTAAGCCCATATCTTTTTTGTTGTAGTCATGGATGTTTTCTCTTGACATTTGCAAAAGGTTGTACCCTGGTGTATGCTTTTTGCTGATTATATATTTTTTATTGATAAGACTAGAGAGGCAGTGGAAGGCAAACTCAAACTATAAAGATCAACTTTAGAGTCTAAAAGTTTTCATTTGAGTAGATCTAAAACCGAATATATGGAGCAAATTTTTTGTGTTAAAAGATCTAGTTGGGGGATTATGTCTTTGGGAAATTAAGCCATTAATAAGAGTGCACATTAATTTTAGATATCATGGGTCTATTATTCCGACTGATGGTAAAATACATGGGATATTTTTAGCAAATTTGAGGTTGGATGGCTGAAGTGGAGGAATGCATCGGGCTTGTTGTGAAATAGAAAAATCCCCCTCAAACTTAAAAAAAAATTTCTATAAGATGATTAATAGTAGTAGCATTTCGATGATCCAGTTAAGAAAATAGATTTATTGAATTTGACTTATGTTAAGAAAGGTGGATAGACCTAAGAAGACCTGATTAAAAAATATTGAAAATAACTTTTCTTTATTAGATTTAAATGAGATTTTAATTCTTAATAGGACACAATAGAAAAAAAAAATTCAGATAGCCGACTTCACATAGAATGAAAGGCTTGAGATTGTCGTTGTATTAATAGTATTAAAATATCAAAATATACTAACATTTTTTTTTCTTTGATCTACTCAAGAACTGATTTCCTTCACAACTAAACACCCTGCAATCAAAGTAGACGGCTGAAGCAGCATCACTTTCATGCTAAGTTTATCATACAAATTGTTGCTATTATTTGTAGACACAGCAGCCATTTATTTACAGCAGAAACTGGCAATCCTTAGTACAATATCTTTCACAAGGCACACCACACCATATTAGTTCTTCTCACAACAATTATTTAAGAAAACACCAGAATCACATTCCTCTTCAGTTTCTGGAACTTTACATTGTGTCCAGATCCTTACTAAAACCAGGGAACTGATCATCTTGGTTTATAAACTGGCTGCAATCGATCCCCTTCGCCGCGAAGCTTGATACAAGCATTGGTAAGATCTTTGCAAGCATGATCCTAAAACCAGCTGAGTTGTTTCTGCAACCGTCCTCGGATCGCATTCCCGACCCATACGACCCAACTCGAGCACCGTCCATGTAGGCTTTGCAAGCTACGAGGATGTCGAGAGCGTGTTCGACAAAATGCTCCTCTACATGTGCCTCAAAATGCTGTGAATTATTTAAATGAAGAACATAAGCAAAACATAACAGGTTTTTATGAAGATTCTAATGAAGCCATTTGAAATCTGTAAATTGTAAATTGACCTTAGGTGGTTGCCTCATAATGTACAGCATTGATTTGCATGTAAGAAGGAAAGCGTTTTCGTTGTAGTTTATAGAGTTTCTCTCTGCCTCAGCTCTCCCTATCTGTTTGTCAAAACCAGCTTCATTGAAGTATGGCTTATCATTGAGGACAAGAGCTTGAAGAGATAGCAAGACTTGAAGGATGGTGGAGCTATCTGGATTCCATACTTCAGTGCCACTACCAGCCCATGTATTCAGAAGGCTGAGACAGATCTTTCCGGATTCATACAGGTTCGGGTTCAATTTCAGCCCGCCCGAGTGGTAGTGAACAATCTGCTTATAAAATAAAATTTGATCAAGATTTCCTTAGCCTTGTTGTTGTGAGTTGGAACAGGCCAACTCATATCAAGGGGATAATATTACAAAGAGGCCTGAACCTATATGCATGACATGACATTAATCATATGACATTAAGAATAGATACATGAGCTCCTTATGCATATGCATGGCATATATGATCATTATAGAATTTTTGTGCAATTTCTTTATCTGTGAGAATTATTTATATTACTAAGTTTGTAGCTCATTTGATGCTACACTATGATTTTAGCAAAAAAAAAAAAGGATACAAGGATTATGAATCAGGTATCTACTTTGTTTTTATAGTACTATGTGCAACTTTATGATTTCAGATATGGTATGAAAATAATATAAATGAAAGATAGGGATATGAATTTTTATTTAGAAGATATATTAGAAGCTCTATAATTGATTTGATGATTTTAATTATGAACACTGTGGCCTCCGAAAATTCGGCCCCGGCCTCCCCCGTTGCTTTTCAGGGGGGTTTTAAAAGATTAAGTTCCTGGGTAAATTTTGGGAAGGCAGATTGGGTTTGAAGATAAGACACCAAGAGATGTCGCCTCATTTTGCGAGGACTTTATTATATGAGTTCTGGTTTCCTATAGGTGTAAGCCCCTATAGTTAATTATCCCTCCTGATCACTAGACAAAACTTTCGATTAAGGCTAGTAGTCAATCAGGTTCGTAGAACTACATGTTATTTAGCATATAGTAGCAACATGGGTTTAAGTGTTTGGAACTTGAAGGGTTGATATTTAAAATTAGAAATTTCACCATCTTGCACTTAAAGCAGATGGCGGGGGAAAGGATTATGGACCCGATCAAGATCCCATGGTTCATTTGCTCCGGGCCATCGTGGTCTCGGGTCTTCTTAGTCAGAGGAGGTAGTCGACCCAACCTGATAGAAGGATTATTATCGGCAGCCATGGGTTGCTTCGTCCAAGGGTACTTTGTAGACCTGGGGGAAGTGTTTGTTTAAGGAGATAAATTTGAATCCATCTTAGCTAACAGAGGGTTTTGTGCCTTATCGATTATATCATATTGATTCATCTCTCAAGGATTTGATGCCATTGGAGAGCATACGGGCTCTGGCCATAACCGTAATGTAGTGGTGTCATTTGGCGGAAAACCACCCGATTCAGAGAGCCCAGGTCATAACTGTTTACTTGCGATGCATTTCGTGAAAAAACAGTCGGTTAGAGGACACATGCCACGCCCTTACTGACAGGAAATGGTTTGAGAATGAATTCTAATGGATATTATCGACTAGACATTAGCTCTATGTGAGCTGAAGTTATTTTCAGATTTGTCCACCTCAATAAACTATTGCGGAGTGTGGATGAATTTTATGCTTTAAGTGATTGATGATTAATTTCAATTTTAAATATTTGGGATTTCTAAAATTTTTGGAGTTTTGAACATTTGGATGCATTTTTTTAAATGTTTGGAATTAACACCTCCGATTGAGATCTTCATTCAACATAACCATCATCAGGGTTTTTATGAGGTCACTTTCATTTTATTAATTAAACTTTATTCACTATGTCTACTTACCGATTTTATGCCTTTATTTATGAATTTTCCTTATTCATAGGCCTTGAAGGCCTAACATGAATGTATAAATAAATATCTTAGACGATACATTGATTATATATTTATTTGATAATTTGAGCCATTTTGACTCATATCTACCTGCATAGAATGATCGGGCTCGAACTTAAGATTTATTGTTTGACCTTCACAACATCCCTAAACGTCGCGTGTGTTCTCATAACACGCTCATCGGGGTCCATGCAGGTATTTGATTGCATATGCACTTCTTTGTGTTTATGTGTACACATTTGTAGTGCATGTGTAGGGGCATTTTCAGGAACATTTAGCGTTGATCAACTGTGCAAATGATCAGCATCCGAGTGTGCCCAATGCTCTATGTAGAAGCCTGTAGACGTCTTCTGTCTGCTTGTACAAGTGTTACAAATTCGGTAGAGTGGCATTGTACTAGTTATCTGAATGTTTCATACAGATAGACTATCGTGAACAGCTTATCCTTTTCTACAAGTAGATAGTTTTGCACAACGTATCGCTTTCTGCATGTGGATTTTAGTGCACTAACAAATCTCCTGCTTTTGATTGTAGATGATTGCATTTGTTGCAGTGCTTTCATATTTGCCCATAGTCAATATGTTGAATATGTAATGGGCCTCCTACAACTGCTACGACAGCCTGTAGGTGTGTTTGGACTTGTTGTATTCCTTACACTATTGCTTATGAGTAATGTGCAGAAACTTCAGTCATCATAAGTCATTGTTTGCAATTGCTCATTTTTGTGATCATTCAAATACTTCAAGTTGATTAGATTTCCCTGCCCTTGTGTAATATTGATGCTTACACTTAAACCAACAATGATAGTCTTTTAATATTCGTTGGAAATTTTATGTTGTTGCTTGCAAATTATGTTAGTGCATCTATCATATCCTTCTTGAACGCATTTATCGAAGTCTCCTTGATTGTATTCGTCGGATGTCTGACAGCCTCATTATTTACAAACAAGTCAACGTATTTGCCTGAAGTTAAATGATGTTGATCACTTGCAAATTGTATTTGTCTGAGACTTATTCAACAAATCTTGATCATCAATTTGTGACGTTCACGATGTATTAGTCTCCTTTATTGATGCTTCTTCTATACGTTGAATTATTGTTGATGATAGAGACACTATTGCAACCTTCTATGTTTATTCATTTTGCCAATCTATCGCATCGGTGATATTTGCTAGCCATCAAATTACATGCTGAATCCTTTTGGTCATATTTGATTGCATGATTGACATAAAGTCTCTTAACATAATAAATTTTACAAAACGTACAGTAAAAAATAAAATAGAAACTGTGAAGCCAATGAGCAGATATAATAAACCAACCTTCAAGCAATTAATATGCAGACCTTTCAGGTTACTCAAAAAAATAAATTTGAAAATAATATACTTACCGGCGGTTCCTGAGGATAATTGCTAGGTAAATGAATATCAAAGAAGAAAAGGCCATGATAATAAGGTGTTCCAGGCTGTCCAGCAATTGATGCCCTCAAAAGATCAACGCGCTCCTCATAAACTCTAACATAAATACTCTCTGTGAAAGTTTATAAAGAAAAGAGAATCAGGAACCAACAAAATTTGCTAACATTATTAAAAATATGCATAATCAAATAACATCATCTGAATGAAATTAAATGAATTTATAATATTCTTCCACCCCCTTTCTGAAGTGTCAAAACAGACTCACAAAGTTTCCAGGCATGCCAGCAAACTAAAACGGAGCGCGGGTGTATGCGGGAATTAAGTATTAAGCATATAAATTGCCCTAAATTTGAACTTTCAAAATCTCTCATCACTTACTGTATCAATGTCAGAAAAAAATAAAAACAATAATAAAAAAAAGAAATACACACAAACAAACGATAAAACATTGAACAGACCAGGAAGGTTTTTCTTAAGAATGCTCCATTCTTGATGCACCCTCTTCAGCCAACCATTTTTAACCTGAAAACAACCCAAAAGAAGTTTTGCATGCTAGCCAGAAGTAGAGAAAAAATCAAGTATTAAGTAACAATCTTGCCTGCGACGCTGCTGCATCCTGTCTGAAAACATGTGCAAAATGATGGTCCAAATAGCCAAACACACTATCAAACTGTTTAAATCTCTCTGCTTTCTCACAGCTTAACATAAGTGCTGATCTTCCAATCTGTTCTGCTCCACATTTTACTACCTTCTTCCACCCTTCAAATTGCAGTTCATCACCACCCAGTGATGGCACGTTGATCTCTGAAATATGCAGTCCAAGGGAATTATTCCCATTAACAAGCTGAAGATTATCTCCAGTCCTTGAGGAACGAGATGATAAAGAGCATTCACATATTTTATCAAGACGATTGAAATCCCTCAATTTTTCGCAAGATGGACTGGAAGAACCACCAATGCTGAATAGCCGCTCAACTATATTTGTAAGAAATCTAAGCGTCACTGAAGGAAGCAAAAGGAAAGCAGCATCCCACAAACCTCTGTTGGAACCTCCATTGGAACCATGTCCAACCTTTATTTCAAAAAGTTACGCCAGCTTCAAATCTTTAGAAAGAAATAAATATAATAAACAGAAAAAAAGTCAAGCTTACTTGCAATATACGTACGAGCAGATGCACCTCTAAGATGCCAATAGACAGAGAGGAAGAGGAGAGAGAGAGAGAGAGAGAGAGAGAGAGAGAGAGAGAGGCTGGCAAATGTGGAAAGCAATAGTTGCAGTGAAAATATGTAAAGACGGAAAATAATATAAATAAAAAAACATAATTAAATCATGGGAGCACGTTATAATTTAGGACATATATTAGTTAACATGAATAACTTAGATAACTATATATGATCATAAGCATTAGCAAAAGGAGATGACATTTAAGGATTAAGGAGCAAAGCAAATATTCTGAGATTAAGGTGGGCAATCTTATTTCTATTTTATAATAATATTACATGTTCTTCTAAATTTTATGTATTGATTAATATGCCTTTTTATGCATTTAATAGCATGATTACTACAAGATCATTATTACAAATTGTCTACAAATGATTGTCTCTGATTCTATGCACATGATACTGATATTATCATGGATATTATTTAGAAAACATCTTGTTTCAAATTTCCATGATTTTATCATATAATATAAGGCAAAAGTCATTGATAAAATAATGAATAGAATGCAAGAATAATATTTTATATAGGAATGATTGCACATGATTGCATTTATATGTTGAAAAATGGAATTCACTCTCTCATCATACTAGTAGGGGATGCTTTGTACTAGCACATAGAGGTTTAAATACTATCCCTCACTTTGGTGTTGGGATAGGCTTAAAAAAAAGGATATTAATACAAAAATATCTTAAATCGTATAATTAGATGGTGCTCATGTGATGGTTGTACTATAAAAAAAATGATAAGATATGCTTCTTTACTTATGCTATTAATATCAATAAAATATTTTTTTTTTAATGCTCAGATATTCTATGACATTATATAGATTCATTTATGATAATTGATAACTGGCATATATATTATTGTCTTTATTTTGTTACATCGATATAGTTTAGAACTATAATATACCCACTAGTTATATTTATAACTCACATTAATTATTTAATAACTATTTTGAAGGACGTCATCATGGATTGAATGAGTGATAGGGGAAATTTGCATAAAGATGATGTGGAGCAACAAGTGATAAGTACTTACATTTTACAATTGTGATAATAATAATAGTGTACTTTCTTGCTGCTTTTTAAAGCAACTTTTTAGTACAAAATTATTTAGTTTAATAAATTTTTCTATCAAAAAGCTAATTTAAAAAGCACTAAAAAAGCGTCCCAAACGAAACCTAAGTTATGAAAAAATAACTGTTTGTGGAGTTAGAATTTGCTAGTGGAATGGGTTTTCAAAGATGTAAGGATAAAAGGAAGGGAAATAGGGGAAGATTTGACCTCATTCTCTTGTAATTTGGCATGCTCGGATATCTCGCTTTGGACATGTTCAACAACTTGATGAACGGCTGATGATGAGTCAAGTTCATCAAGCCTATCCAAGCCAAAAATTTCATAAGGGTGCACCTGAAACATTAATGAGAAGAAAAAAATATAACCCATCAGCCTTCACATAAATATTTAACAAAAAAAAAGGTAAAACAAATGCTTTCGCAGCTGATGAACAAGAGCCTATGCCAGGTATACTTTTTTTCTTTTTACAAGAAGAACACGATGTTCTTTCAGCTGAAGGACGTTCATTGTTCAACATATGTACTAATTATACAAACAGATAACTGCCCTAATTAATTTACTATCTCCCAGCCTACTGAGGAAAATCTGCTCAATCACGAATTAAAGGTCACCAAACAGAAAATGCAGCAATGTCCCCATAATTTTGATTCATCAATTCACATGTAGTTTAAGAAAAAGCTAATGAAAACACAAATGCCAGAATGACAATGTCAGCACAAAGGACAACTATTTAAGAAGCAAGCATCAACAAAGGCTTCGTTTGAGGTGGCTTTCTTCCTGCTTCTTAAAGCAGCTTTCAAGTACAAAAATTAAAACTTTTGTACTAGAAAGTTGCTTTAAGAAGCAGTAAGAAAGTCGTCCCAAACAAAGTCAAAGTTAATGTATCATTCCACAAGAATATAAAGAACCACAAAATGTGGCTGAAGCATCTATCCATGGGCTGAAATTTCTAATTGCCATAATTCAGATGTAAAAATTAAAATATTAAAGAATGGCAAAATAAATGAACTATTATACTACACAACTGTTCAACATTGTTGGCTACCAGCCGAAGCATGCTTAACTAATAATGTGGAATTAGTTGAAAATTCCTCATGCAATCCATGACACAGTTCTGACCAAACATCATTTAATTTCTTCACTTTCAATTGTTTTCTTCATAGTATTAATGTCTTGTTTAAATTGGCCACCAAATGTGTAGTTGTTTGGAACAAAAGCTAGACTTTAACCAGTACAAGGGATCTACCCTTGCATATCAAACACCTCTTATGGGTATTTAACTAGTATAATGGATATGCTCTACATAGTTTTCTAAAGTCAATCTCCAATTTGTCTGCATGATTAGGCTTCGTTTAGGACAGCTTTTTTATTACTTTCTAAAGCAGCTTTCTAGCATAAAAATTTCTTGAATTAGAAATTTTTATACTAAAAAGTTGTTTTAAAAAGGAATAAGAAAGCTATCCCTAATGAAGCTTAAATCAACTTTTTGAAAAGTCTATAGTGTGCTTTATGTCTCAGGACAGAAATACAATTCAAACTAGCATTCCTTGTTCATCTTCCCACTAGTATCTGTAGTTGAGCTTAAATTAATTACATTACAGACTACGTTGCACCGATACGGATACGGCGACATGGATACGATACGGATACGGCGCGAATACGGCATTATAATATATAAATCATACATAAAAAATAATAAATTAATCAAAGCATAATATTTGAAATGACAAAAAAAATTGAAAGCAATATCATTTGTAGCATTGTATCTTATAATATCAAAATAAAAGTAAGCATTAAATATTTAAATGTCTAGTACAACAACAAAACCAAAAACATAAATTGTCCAACATATGAAGATTGAATTATTCAATAGAAGGAATGATAGGATTAGCTTCTTCAGTGGTTTGTCTTTGCATTTCTATATCATCTTCAACGAATATCATAGCTTCCAATTCAATGAATTCATGTTCATCAAGTGAAAGATTAGCAATTTCTAATATTACCATATCCTCAAGAGATTCAAATCCATTTCCCGCAACATCCCACATCCTATTGTCTCCTTCCATATAAGTTGAAGTTTTCCTTAAGAGAAGCCGAAGGTTTGTAGCACATAAACTAAATCTTTAGCCCGTTGTGGAGTAATTTTATTTTTCTTCATTGATTGGATGAACGAGTATATGCTCCAATTTCTTTCACAACAAGATGAGGATGAAATTTGACCAAGCAATTTTATTGCAATTGTTTGAAGTAGAGGTGCTAAATCTCCATGTATAATCCACTATATTTTTGGATCAATTCTCCACCTATCACGCAATGACTCTTGGTCACCAAAGTCTTCTAAATAACCAAAAAATTTAGCAAGCTCAATATTGACACTTCTTCTCTCCTTCTCATTTGGAAAATAACACTTCAAACATGTTTTTCTCATATTTGAAATTTATAAATCTTTCTGTGAAAAAACTCTTTAAGGATCCTCTTGAAGTCATTCTTTGGTTGAATATCTTAAAAAAATATTAAAAGCAAATAATAAAAAAATGTTGAAATTACTAAACAACAAATTATAAATTAATAATGAAAAAATATTGAAATTTAACTGAGATTTAGTGAGTGAGCCAAGCAATGTAAAGGTGTATTACTTTTGCTCCATCTATCTTATAGAATAACATAAATAACATCCCAAAAGCTTAAGTCTTCATGAAATATTTTCCTCTTATATCTATATATAATTTTTTTTTACTTTGGCTAACATTGAATCCCACATCTCATAAATGAGATGTAAATAAGACTTATCCATATCTACTACTCTCAACATCTCATAAATTGAATCTGTGAAGTTTAAGATGTATTCAATCTCATCCCACCATAAATCATCTAAAAGCTTCTTCTTTACATACCTAGCCTTTCCAACATTATCTTTCCTATAATATGACCAATTATCACTGATCACCATAGCTTGAAGAGCATTTTTTATTTTTTGGAATCTTCTCAACATCACTATAACTGAGGCAAACCGAGTTTCATGAAGTGATTCATAATAAAATTTCTAATTACAACTACATCTCCAGCAATCACTGTGATCCAATGACATTCATTATAAGTGATTTCGTTTGTCTCGGTATTCTTAGCTGCACAAATGTTCTTCAAGGCAAGATTAAGCGTATGCACAACACATGGTGTCTAAAAAATATGAGGATAGACTTGCTCTACAAGTAGACCTACAGCTCTACAAATAGATGCATTATCAGTAATGACCTGGATGATGTTTGAAGGCCTCACCATTATGATAATTTCTTTAATTAAATTAAAAATGAAGAACTTATCATTGTACTGTCCTTCATAGTTTATAGCATTGATAAACATAGGATAGCTTTTTATTATAGGCATGAAGTTGATAAGTGGTCTTCTTTGTTGATCTGTCCAACCATCACAAACCAAAGTAATTCATTTTTCCTTCCAAACTCCTCTAGTAGGCTCGAGCAACGTCTCAATATTATCCCTCTCTTTGCAACAACTTCATTCTAATGACATTATATCCTGGTGACACGTATCCTGTAAGATTATTATTGCATGCATAGGTAAAAACATTCTTGTAATGTGGATTCCTTGCTAGGTTAAAAAGAAATCCAGCTGAGTAAAACATTCTAGCTATTTTCTCATCTAGTTGTTCTCTAATTTGTAAATTAAATGCTTTCTCCACAGCACTTTCTACATGTTTTCTTCTTTTTGGTTCAAATCCCTCCATCCGGAAAGGCCATTTATTTATAGTATTGTCATCACTTCTAATTGAAGAAGATGATGAAGGATATGAAGCATGAGTGCTTGGAAGTGGAATATGTTTTGAAAGCTCTTTTTTACTCCTTTGCTCAACTTCCCTGGTTTTTCTTTGTAATTAAGCCATTTATGATGAGCTTATATTCGGGCATACTTTAATTCCATGACTACTAATCTTCAACAAATGAGCTTTCACTTTATAATATGATCCTTTGTATGTGACATTACAAAAATTACATTTGAATGCAATATTGCCATCCCCTTCTGACGTTTTACCTATTTTTTTCACATAACCCCACAGATGTTTGTTATCTTCAATATTGGTCTCTGATGGACCATCAGTAGACCCAATTCCTACACCACAAGAGCTCATTATCCTATGAAGGATCGACACAATTAATCCACATGAATTTGAAACATGAAAATTTTTAATTAAAAGTGTATATATGTTATGTTGGGGGTCCAAGGGGAAGCTGCCCCCTGGCCGGATTCGACCAAAAATTAGTGAAGGAAGTTTGGAGAAAAGGCATAAGGCATGTACATGAAATTGAAATTACAAATCTTCATCAGAAGGATAAAATTCTATTATGTGAGCAATAATGCTTTCTAAGGATTAACACTTAATTAGCATAAAAAAATGTTTAAGTTGTTTTGATGTAAAGAAAGTGAATAAAATGAAAAAAGAAAGAGGGGATATTGTGACTTGTGAATATGTGAGGTATGCATTTAAATTAAAATTTTCATATTTATTTAAGTTAATAAAAATCTAAAATTGCATGTTAAAATTCTCATAATTACCTTAACAAGTATAGGGAGCTTAAGGTAGGTATAATACAAAGAAGTATAAGTAAATGAGACAAATCAATTAATAAGGATATCTTTTGTATGATTATATATATTCCATCAAAGAAGGTGAAGTTAATGATTGAAACAGGCAAAAGCACGTTCTCTAAGATCAAGGGATGATTACATTTCTATCTTATAATAGTTGCAGTTCTTTTTATGATTTAATGCATTGGTTAATATTGTATTTTGCATGCATACTTTAAAATGTTAGTAATGTTAATTTTCATAGAAGAAATAATATTTTTTTCTTTCACTTTCATAACTACCTTCATATTATAATAAACATTAAATGCGAAAGTATCTTATTGAAACTCATGCATGTGCAAACTTAAATGTAAATATAAGACAACATAAATGAAAGGAATACAATGAAAGAGAATGTACGTGCCTATTAAATAAAAGAGTTCATCCCCTTATAATATTAACTGAAGATGTAATATACCCATACACAAAATGGAAAAAGGTTTAGAAAAATATATAAAAATAGTTGTACCTTAATTGGTGGAAACTTTGAAAGCTTCTCTTGAGACATGTTATATTTTTCAAGATATGATTTGATAAATACATTACAAAATGTTATCTTTTATCTTCTGCAAACTAATGTTGCCTTCAATTTTACAGAGTAGTATATCTATATAAATTCTTTATAAATGAAATGTTTAATGACACTAATAATGACTCACAAGCATTCTATTTTCTATTTTTGAAATTGTTAC